GGTTCGTTAGGGAGTGGGGGTAGGAAGGGGGGGGATGAGGAGCTGATACCAAGGGCTCAAGTAGAAAGCAAATGTTTTGAAAATGATGAGGGCAACAAATGTACCAATGTGCAATGGATGGATGGATGGATTGTGATGAGTTGTACGAGCCGCCAATAAAATGATTTAAGAAAGAAAAAAGAAATGGTCACTCCCTCAGAGTTTGGAGGAAGACGTGCGGCTAAAGGGCTCTGAAGTGGTTCATGCAAGGAGCGAATCCGAAAGCAAACTCCCTGCCATGGAGGTGATTCTGACGAGTGACCCTGCCGTAGCACAGAATAGACACGGCCCTACTGGGTTTCTGTGCTTGTAGATCACTGTGGGAGCTGAAGGCTTCATCTTTCTCCCAACAGGCAGCTGGTGGGTTGCAACAACTGACTCGGTGGTTAGCAGCCCCACTATCCCGGCAGGGCTCCTTTCCATGTCCAGAGTAGGCGTTCATTCCAACGAGAACAAATCAATGCCCCCCAGTGCTGGCGAAGGAATCAACCTGCTGTCCTTGAGGGATAGTGCCATCCTGAAGGCTCAACATCAAAAGCTACAGTTGGCAGGGTAAGCACTTGGAAGTGGCAGTAAACCATACACTGGCCTTAGTGAGAGGAAGTCCATGATACTGGGCCTATGTAGCGCTTCCATCCTGCCAATAGGACCATTCCATATATGGGTCTATTACATCAAGGAGACTGATGAGAGGAGCTGACATCACTGCGGGTCTACTTGACTGCTGAGTGCCTTTCCTTTCGTGGATGCTCTCCAGTGGGCATAGCTTTTGTGCCAACCCCTAACCTCAGAATTGCCTTTGACCTTTCCATATGGCAGCTTCCAAGTTTCTGATCAACCTGCCAAGCCATTTATTTGTACCACGAATATATTTATTCTCCAGAATGCTTCTTTTTCCACATAAAGTGGATGACCAAATGTACAGCTCACATCTCAGCCCACTGGGTGGATGTCCCTTCAGCAGCCTGCCACTAGAAGCACCACGGCTGAATGAGATCATGTGGCAGCAGTCCACTTACAACCATTGCCAACATAGCATGCCACCTGTGAACCAGTCCCAAGAGCTATCTGTTGTCACTTGGTAGCAGGAAACTGCCTTTTCCCCATGAGACCATAGGTATGGGTTGACAAGATACAACAGAGAGTAACAACAAAGACACAATAGAGTAACAGGTGAGTGCTACAGGAGTCGGGGTCACCTGTTCATGTCATTTACTTGTACGATCCTGAATGCAGTTATTTCCATTATACAGTGGATTTACACTGTTCCCATCTAAATTATGACTCCATAGATCTGATAGTACCTAAGTCATAAGGAGATGATCCCAGGAGCTTAGTCGCATTGTCTCATAACATCTAGGGACCTGAGTCGTACTGTGTTGCAGAAAGCATGGCCCACAGGTCTGTGCTGTAACCTTCTACCAGAACTTGCTCAAGTACAGGATTTTTTTTTCTTCCCCTTAATAAAAATTCATTTTCAATTAGATCTTTTAGAGTATCACTCATGAATTATTTCACATGTCACGTATTGAAATCCATTGCAGTCATTCTTTTTGCTGTTAAAATTATCCATTCTTTGGCCAATAGGAGTTCTCCAGTTGACCTATCCTTTTGACAAGACTTCCTATTTTTTAAATTTCTTTAATAAATCATTTTATTGGGGGTTCTTACAGCTCTTAAAACAATCTGTATTATCAATTGTACCAAGCACATTTATACATATGTTGCCATTACCAGTTCAAAACATTTTGTCTACTTGAGCCCTTGGAATCAGCTCTTTTACCCTACCTCCCTTGACAAATTATACATTATTTTCACTGTCCACTGTCTCCCTTCACCCCACATTTCTGTTGTTTGTCCCCTGAGGGGGTAGTTGTATTAATATGTTGATGATTGCAATTGGTTCCCCCTTTCTCTCCTGTCTCCTCACACCTTCCCCCTACCCTCATGGTATTGCTACTCCCACTACTGTTCCTGAAGGGTTCATCTGTCCTGGATTCCGTGTTAACTCTTCCCTGTACCAGTGTACATGTTCCGGTCTAGCCAAGCTTGTAAGGTAGAACTGGGGTCATGATAGTGTGGGGAGGAAGCATTAAAGAACTATGGAATGCTGTGTTTCGTTGACGTGACACAGTACCCTGGCTGTATAAATCTCAGGGCATCCAGAGTTGCAAGGCAGTTCATGATGAAGTCTGGAACCATTGTAGATCTTTTGTGTGATCCACTTGGAACATGCAGCTTTAGTAAATGGGTTCAAGAAATAATGCAAGTAAAATATGTGCTTCCAAAATCCAAATAGGACTACTAAACCCCATGCCTCCTGGTGCTAGTGTAGGGTACTTAATGTTGTGGAAGGAATATCTGATCATACCCCCAGTCAGTCCTCTTAAAATATCAAGGGGGCAGAGGTCCCTGGTTGTTCATGAAGTTTATTGCCCACACTGACACCTGTAAGTTTTACTTGTGTGTTTGGAGTATTTGTTAAGTTCTGATAGCCAAACTCAGCACTCTGTCGGCAGTATAGTGGTCGCATGATCTGTGGAAATGTCAAGATGATCAAGATCATCGGATTAGATTGTAACAGAGCAGATTTAATATATTCTTGGGACCAAAAAGTGAGAAATCTCTGTCCATCCTAGATAAACATGAACTACTTTTGATCCACCTTTATGGGAATCAAGAATGCATTTTCTAAATCAAAAGCCACATTATAAAATCCAGAGAAATTCCACAACGATTCCACAGTCCCTGTAGCTACAACTGATGCGAATCGTCGTCCATCAGCATTCTCCATCACCCCTCAGCTTCTTGCAAAAACGTCACAGATAAACATGGTCATGATGCAACCTGTTACCTCAGTATGATTTCAAAGCATTGCTATGGCAACAGTTGCTCAGGAGATACAGCGCCGCTCATGACTTACTATCAGAGAACTTCCAGAAATTCAAGCTGGATTCAGTAAAGGCTGTGGAATGAGTGTTATTGTTAATGATGTCAAATAGATCTTGGCTGAAAGCAGAAAACGTTTACCTGTTTTACTGACTATGCAAAGACATGGGGCAGTGTGGATCCTAACAAAGAATGGAGAACATAGTGAAGATTCGGCAGTCCAGAACACTTAGATTGTGCTCATGTGGAAACTATACATAGGGGCTACTATTCAAATAGGACACGTGGGTATGGCAAGGCTTGCAATCAGGAAAGCTGTATACATCAGGGTGGTATCACTTCAACACATTTATTCAGTCTACATACTGAGAAGCTAAACTCTATGAAGAATGTGACATCAAGACTGTACTCATTAACCTATAATATGCAGATAACATTTTACACGCTGAAGGTCAAAGACTTGAAGCACTTACTGGTGAAGATTAAAGATAACTGCTTGTAGTATGGATTACACCTCAACATTAAGAAAAATCCTCACAACTAGACCAATAAGCAACATCATGATAGTGATGTCATTATCAAATTAATGATGTCATTAAGGATTTCATTTTACTTGTTCCACAATTAGTGCCCATGAAAACAGTAGCCAAGAAAAAAAACATTACCTCAAGGGGAATCATTAAATCAAAATGGGTATTTTTTTTAATCATCAGAGGGTATGGATTACACAAGTATACCCATTTGTCCAAAATTATACAGGCTAACACAGAACAGCCCAATCCCTACCTAACCCACATTGCCACCTGGTGGGCAGAGATGTGTGTCTCATTTCATTAGGAAAAGCATTCATGCTACCGTTTCCCTGAAAATAAGACAGTCTCTTACATTAATTTTTGCTCCCCCAAATGCACTAGGTCTTATTTTCAGGGGATGTCTTGTTTTTCCATGAAGAA